AGCAGCCCGGGGAGCCGCGGACCAGCTTCTCTCACTGCGGAGGACACGGGCGGCGGGACCGCGGAGCGTCTGGGCGGTCCCGCCACCCACGTCCTCCGCGGCAAGAAAAGCCCCGTTCGTAAGTAGGGATCCGACATAAGTCGGATCCACGTAACCTGGGGACTGCCTGTACACGGTCGGAAAGAAGCCTTTAGGTTGGCACTAAAAGACTATAGCACCCAGGGAAACTATTTTTCCAACAAAGTTTAACAATTTGCAGCTGATAGTATAACCTATGAATAACCAGTAAAAATCTCCAGTATGTATATCACTACTGCTACAGAATAAAAACAGAAAAAGAAAACTTCACAGCCAAGTATATCACACAAATTACTTTTGTACAAGTGCAAAATTTAACTGTTTTAATCCCATAGTCATTAGATACTTTCTTACTTTTCTTCAATCACAGTCTGGCCATTACTCTTTGTTTCTTCTACAATAATTTTCTCTTCCTCTGGAAGCAGCACTTGGGGAGCAGACTCTTTACGGGAACCTATTATTACAAAAAATGTATAAAATGAGTAACATGAAAACATCATCAGAGACTTGCTGGTGATTGTTTCATCTCTATAATGCATGGCACATTGATGAACTAAGGTTTTGCTTTACATTATTTTTCTCACAGACAGACAGACAGCTATTGACTCATCTCCTTTACTTCCTTAACAATGTTTTTCAGTAGACTGGAATTAAAAAAAAATCTGACCCTTTTTTCCCCTTTTCAGTGGTGATGCTGTCCAGAGATGAAGGCACAGTACAGTATCTGCCTCTTTGAATTGGTGAGACTCGTGTGGTTTCACCACATTGAGGTAAATGAGAATTGCGTGTGTTGTACAGACAAATTGCAGTCAAGCCTTTAGGGCTAATTCTGATCTTCTATACATGAATATAAATCAAGATTAACTCCAGCAAATCAATAGCTAAACCAGTGAGAAGCAGTGAAATTGATTGATTTCATTTGTGTCCTGGAACGCACATAAGAGTGGGAGTAACGAGAAAAAAATAAAGGATTTCAATTTTTTTCCAGAAAGCAAGTTATTCTTTATGTATCTAAGTTTAGAAAGATTATTCATCCTCATATAAATTATTAACAAATTACATTATTAAAAGCATTATACTAAATGCACAGCTAAAATATAAAAACACAAACTACAAGGGAAAAATGATTTCACAACTATCTCAAAACACGTCTCCTTCCACACCATTTTACAATGTACATTTTTATTAACATTACAATATGATAGCACTCTAAGATAATTAGTGTAAATTGTAAAACAGGTGGCCCTTAACCAATATTGTGCTGCTTTGAAGGCACGTGTCTTTCATGAAGCAAACTGTTCTAGAAACGATAATTAGGCTGCAACAAATTACTAGCGTTTTTTGAAAAGGTTTGTAAACAAATGCTGCCTAAGTACATATTTAGTTAAATAAAGTTGACAAGCCTTTGGAGCTGTTGTGTAGTTACCCAAAATGTTAACTTTAAAATCATAGACAATACTGTCTCATATACCAAATCATTATCATGATTTTCATCTAACTAGGAATGTATTAATTTTAGCACGATTTCAGTTCATAGTCAGTAAATGTGTATTGCGGGAGCACTTCTGTTAGTGGAAATTCATTCATTCTTGATGACCAGCTGCTTCATTCTTATCTTGCCCTTTGCTTCACAGATGGTAACAAAATGCTGTAATCTCTAAACACAGGGCAAATCATGCTGAAGAACATGAGCCCAATGGAAGACATTAAACTATCAAACCACTGCAGTCCTATGTTCTGAGAACAAATAAGCCAACAGGGGAAAAATAGAACGCTGCTGAATCATATAGAAAAGCTCAAACTACTTTTCAGTAAATGAGGGCAATCAGTTAAATCAGTGGGAACAGTCCTTTGGCAAGTAAGGAGGATCTAACCAGTTCATTCACATCTCTGTATAGTAATGGTCCTGAGAAAACTCAGAGAAGAATCTGGTCCTAAACAATTGTAAATCCTATGTAATAAAAATAATCAAATGTTCTTTTAAAATGAATTAATGCCGTTGTGCAATGAGAGAAATCATAATTTTGCAAGGAAGGAGTGACTTGAATCACTGGCACAGCAAAGCTCTATGTAGCTGGTGAAAGTAATTTCTGTACTGGCACAGTCCATCATAATTAAAACTGATGCAAAAATTATTTGCCTTGAGCTTATTATTGATTATTAAGCTGAGGCCTGAGGTAAGTCTGGCTATTTGTGAGATGTCAGTCTATTATGGAGCAATGAGATAAAAATGATTTGAAGAGGCTAGACTAATGATCTGGCAGTATCAGAGTTTGGGTCCCACCTTCCAAGTCAGGAGGGGCAGAGGGTGGTGTTTATTTGGGGGAGAGGAACGGGTTACTTCTCTCCAATGACTCTCTTGAGCCAACTGAAGGAGTGAAACATTTATCTTTAGATAGCTGTATCCAAGCCTCTTAGGTCACAGTGACATCGGTAGGAGATGGCATGGGGAGAAAGATAGCTAAAACCAGAAAAAATGTGACAATAGAGAAGCTATTTCACAAATATCATATATACTCTATGCATAATCTATACACACACGCACTATGTTCATTATATATAACCCGGTGTGTGTATGTATGTGTATGTTAAAACTGAAACAGAGCACACAGAAAACATCTTGTGATACTGGGATGTAGAATGGTGAAATAAAATTTAATCACATTTTATAAAAAAGAAAAATGCAGACAATAAATACTGCACGCACAATTGTACACACACAAGTACACATGTGTATAGCAGTTATGTGAAATATGAACTATTCCTCTGACTGGTTTTTGTGGTCCAGAGCATACAACAATAATGAAGTCAGAACATGGAGAGCTCCATTGTCATTCTTCTTGCATTGACAAGCTTCATAATGTTGAAATTGTTTTTTTATCGTTGCCATCATGCAACTCTCAGTGTTCTGTCCTCAGATAGATGTGTTTGTCTTGTTCCAATGAAAAAGGTAATTTTGTATTTCAGTCTGTCATATTCTATTTGCATTTCACAAACACCTTCTGATAGAATATTAACAGAAGCATGAGGGAGACAAAAAATACCATTTTTCAATCTGTACTAAAACCATCTTAGAAGGGCGACTCATATAGTATTTGCAGAAAGCACAGATTTGCTGTGTTAACCTACAACAGAAAAATGCAAATCTCTATTAAACTATTTTATTGTCCTGATAATTCTTTTCTATACCTTAGGTTGTTAACGTAGAGATTATATGGACTTCGATATATTTGCCTGTAAATCTGCCTTTAAAATAAGTTTTCATCTCAATCAGAAAATCTAACTGTATGAATGGGAGATGACTATCACACAATAAAATGAGAGCACACAAGCTGCAAAACTGTACAACTGAAAAAAGCCCAACACTGCTTGAGAGCTGAAAGGCACGCCAGGGTTCCGAACCCACATCACAATTCACTACCGCCAACACAGACAAGCTGAATCAACAAGCAGACACAAGCTTCTGTCCAGCAGTAACACTTCGGTTTTCCAGGGCTGAGGATGAAGTAGCTCTGATGTTCCTTTATAGCAACATCCTCCAAGGAACAGGCTGAACTTGTAAAACCCACCAGATAAGAGAAGTGTGTCTGTATATCAGCTCATACATAGCTCTCTAAGCAGTATTAAGAGATTTCTGATACACACTTAACACAGGAAAGAAAGATCTATATTTGCAGAATGCACATATCAGATCATTCAGTGATGACACTGCTTTTAGTTGCCAGTGACTAATATCTTCTAGACACGGATTATTCACAGGGGAGGGCAGTTTCACATATCTGGAACTTTCATCAAGCAACAAAACATCATTCCACTTACATTAACAGCTGCATTCACATGGGGACAAAACAGGCAAATGCTCTCTAAAGCCAGCAGGACAAGACTCATGACCATGACTAGCACAACTCCAAAGGAAAGCCAGAATGCAGACTGGAATCCACCAAAGTTCTCCCTAGCGTCCAACTGTGACCAACACAGTAATTCCTCATTTAACACTATAGATATGTTTCAGAAAATGATCACGTTAAGTGAAAACGTGTTATGAGGGGCCAATTTTCCCACTGAAAATAATGGAAAAGGTGGGACTTGCATTTCAAGCAGTGGTGTCTGTTGGGACCGGGACATAAGGTTGTGGGAGAAAGGAAACTGGGTTACAGCAGGGAGGGGAGGTGTTTGGCTCTGGGGAAGGGAAGAGGAAGAGAGGTTAGGGGGATTGGGTTGGGAGTATGCCCCTCTGATGGGTCTGCTGGGACCTGCACTGCGTCCAGTGAGGTGGGGTCGCCAGGGAATGGTGCGGCAAGCAGCGAACCCTCCGCCGCTTTGCAGGGAGGCGGGGGAAGCCCCGCGCAGCCACCAGCGACGGGCCGGCTAGGGAAATCATGTTATTCTGCGGACGGTTGTGTAATTCAAAAAACATTCCCTAAAAAAAATCATGCTATCGCGAAAACGTGTTAAGAGGGCACATGTTAAATGAGGAATTACTGTAATTAGTCAGCTCCTCCTAGTTCTGCTTCTCCAACAACCAATGACTGTTGGAGTTGAGGGTGGACTACAAAATGAAATATGCAAGAACACATCCATATGTGTATATATATATGATACAGCTCTACTGCCTTCAAAGGAGCTGCATCAGAGATGTGCCTGGAACTTGATTTTGAATCTGACATTGGGCACACTATATGATGGTAGCTGGATAAAAGCAAACATACCTAATTATATTTTAAAATGAAAATAAAAGGAAGACAATAAAAGACAAACCATTTGTAATAACCACACATTAGGCCTCTTCCTAGACTCAGACCCTGGGCTGGTTTAACAAAAAATATTTTTTTTAAATACAATTAAGACACAAATACCCTATATACACTGCACATGGGTGGGCAAATACCAACCCCGGGACTGACTCCGGTTCCCCATGGTTAGTCCTTGGTAGGTCTGTGTTGCTATATTTACTTGCACCTCCACAAGTACAGGTGCTTGCAGCTCCCCCTAGACACAGATCACCATTCATGCCAATGGGAGCTGCATCACTTTCCGCAGTTCCCATTGGCTGGGAATGGTGAGCCGGGGCCAATGGGAGCTGCAACTGCTTGTACCTGCAGCGATACAGGTAAATAGAGTGGTGCCAGCCGCCCGAGGCTAACCCCGCTGGCCTGCCGCCATTTTATTGTCCATCCTTGGTTTAAGAGCTGTTAATTCCCAATTTGTGCCGTTCATTATTGTAAGTGTCCTACTGCCTGTCTGCTTTTAGCTTTTAAATGGCCAAATTAAAAACAAAAACAAAAAAAAACAAAAAACCCAACAAGGTTGAGGGTAAGGCAGACTTTTACATTGATCTAAAGTCTTTTGTAACTGTAGTTTTCACAATGCTGCTAGCCATTCTTGTTTTCTATCATCTCTTTCTACAAAATCTGATTTTTAATAGAATAGCAAATCATTTTCAATCCTAAGAAA